ATAGTTTTCTCAAGACTAATTTCCATTTTATCCAAGATAATAAATGAGAAGAAAAGTAACACTGATACAATGTTTATTATATATTAGGTTTTAAGAAATCTTATTCATTCTTCACAGGAACTCCGTAATTTTTTCTAACAATAAAATTCACTAAAGTATATCTTGAATTCCAGTGCTTCCAAAAATTGCAAGATAATTATGTGAAAAATGTATAAGTACACTAAAATATATCAGAATATGTAGACTAATATTACGTATAGGCTGTTTTTAATGTCAAAATAGCTTTAAATCTTTTTCCCAGGATGTATCATAAACAAGTCAATGATTCTTTTTTACCCATGATGAAAATAATATTTTGGCTATAGCTAGCATCTAAAGTAACTAGGCTGTAGCATGATCAGATGGGTTATTGTGACTTATTTACCATCTAAATTGGACTGCCACAGTCATTCCAATCTATGTAGCAAATACTTTTTAAATCAGGGCAAAAAAAAAAAATTCTTAAAGACTAGCTAATAATCCATTGGATATTAGTATTTGAAGGTTACTCCTCAGAAAAGAAAAAGGGCTTACTTAAGGTAATTATGTAAATTACTTGAAGATCACCTTCCAAAGCCTCAGAACTCATATTTCATATAGCTGATGGAAAGTCACCCAAATCTCTTCTAGAATTATAATAAATGTGGCTAACATTTATTGACTACTTATTCTTTGTCAGATACTGTCTCATGAGCTTTATATGTACCAACTCATTCAGTTCTTGTAATAGTCCTATTATTTCTACTTTAGAAATAAGGAAAGTGAAGTACAAAGACTTTCAGCAAATTTGCTTAAGTTTACATAGTTAAGAAATGGCAGTCAAGGGCACCTGGGTGGCTCAGTTGGTTAAGCGACTGCCTTCAGCTCAGGTCATGATCCTGGAGTCCCAGGATTGAGTCCCACATCAGGCTCCCTGCTCAGAAGGGAGTCTGCTTCTCCCTCTGACCCTCCCCCCTCTCATGTGCTCTCTCTCTCTCATTCTCTCTCTCTCAAATAAATAAAATCTTAAAAAAAAAAAGAAATGGCAGTCAGGGTCCATTTTGTTATACTGCCTCATGAGACTTCAGATTTTACACGTGGTAGAAAATACAAACATTATAGAAAGGTACATAACAGAATTTGTCATCCCTCTCCCACTTTTGGGTTAGAGTTACTGTATCTCCACACCACCACCAAATGTATGTGCATGCACGTGTGTGTATGTGTGTGTGTGTCACACAAATGGATTACTATTAGTGATAAATATTTAGATTTTAGTTTTTACCATACATATGTATAGAGATATATATATATATACATGTTTCAAGCTTGTTCAAGTTTATTTGTAAAATAAACTCTGTGCAAGGAAATTACTGTATCAAGGATTATGTACATTACAATTTTTTTAAAGATTTTATTTATTTGAGAGAGAGCACATGGACATGCAACCCAAGCTGAAATTACTGAATCAGAGGCTTAACCGGCTGAGCCACCTAGGCACCCTTGTGCATTACAACTTTGATACACACTATCAAACTGCCCTACAAAAAGGTTGCAATGATTTATACCTTACCAAAAATGTGAATACTCAAAATTTAACTTTTACTAAACTTACAGTATATATAATAGGCCAACAGTATAAATTCAGGTAAGTGTTGCATAAATGGACTATTGGCACTAATTATCTATATTTTAAGAAGTATGCTTGAGGGGCTTTGGGATATTATGAACAAGAACATCTTGAAAAGAGCACTAAGCAAGAATCTAGAGAACTGGGGCAATGCCATCACCACAGTAACAGGGGCCAACGGTATCTCTGCATACTCTCCTCTGGACCTCCCCAGTGCACAGCAATATCCAACTAAGTCAAATGAACCTTGAGGTCTGCACAACCTTAGGTCTTCTAGTTCTCCTTTGTTGCTTAGACCATTTGGCTGTATCTTCTTTCCTTGGAATAAAAAAGTCTTAATTGATAGACCAAATGGGTCGTCACCTACACTTGTGTGAAGGACTCAGATAAATATTTTAGAGGAGTACAAAGGTTCTATAATAAAAATGATAGGAAATGGTTAGTTATTCCTTCACTATATCTCACAAGGTAAAACAAAAAAAGATTTTCTTTTCACCACTCTATTAACTTATCAGAACTAAAGACAGATTTAAAGATCAGGAAAACACACAAGGTTAATGAACATAGCATACTTAGTCCCTCAGATGCCATTCTTTACACATTTGCCAACAAGATCTGATAAAAAGGTCAATCAGATCACATTACTTCCTATTCCGGCTCTGCTTAAAATCCTACAGTTAGGTTGCTTACCAGGACCTAAAAACCCTGGTTTCTGCCTACCTCCTCAACTGTTTTCTACTATCCTCCACTCTGACTTACTCTGCTAAAACCCCACTTGCCTTCTTCCCATTCCTTGAACACGCCAATGCTGCTTTCTGCCGTAGGACTTTTGTTCTAGCTGTTCCTCTGCCTAGAGGGCTCTGATCCCAGATCTTCCCATGACTGGTTTCTTTCAGTTATTCACATCTCCGCCGTTCAAATACCTCCTCTTCTGACTCTTCCTGATGACTCCACAGAAAGAAATCCTACCTCCACTCCACTCTCCCTCTATCCCATTTCCTATTTCATCACCCTCATATTATTTGTTACTATCTAAAATTGTTCACCACTCTATTAAGTGCATCTAGAGCAGTGATGGCATATTATGGGTCCTAAACAAATATATGCTGAACAATGAGGTGAAAAGCACAGAAAAATAATAAACTACTTTGACTATAGCAAACACAGGGTACTAAATATTAGAAATTCAGAAAGAAAACAGAATAAGATGACTATTCTGGTCCTACTTAGTTTGGTTGGTGATATGAATACAAGGAATATAAGGTAATCGAAGTTTAAATGTATGGAAATGGATAAATCAGTAAGTGCAGCCCTAATGGCTGGATTAAATTAATGCATTTTGTTAAAAACCATTCTCTGGAGGACATTTAACTTATGGTCAGCAAATCTTTCTCTATTCAACTTTCTTTTTAGTTATTCATAACAAAATATAATTAGGAAAGGAAAGATAACTCATAAATCTACTAACTAAGGTTTTAAATTTAAATTTCAAAGTAATCTCATTCTAGGTTAAACCAAAAAACTCTTATCATCTGCTTCACTTAGCAGAAAATTGGCCACAGGAAAATGTTCATAGCATCCTTTTTCAGGAGACAGATTTCTCTCATTCAGTAATTTCAAAATGCATCCTCAATCTTTAAATTCTTAGGCCTTTGACAGTCTCTTCAACAAATAAAATTGATAGCATTCAAATGCTTCAAACACTAAAAAATTAAAACACACATGTAATTAACCAAGCATACCTCTTATTACTGCTTCCCTGTCTCACCTCTGTGATATCAGTCATGTAACTGACTTTGTTATCGAATGTACTTATCTTTTAATAAAGTTCCCTATTTAAGTTGAAGCTTAAATTGGGATAGGCAAATGGGATAGGAACCTCAGGCAATCCAGTTCATTTCTGCAAGGAAACTGAACTTTTCTTGCTAACTCTTCCAATGTGTGGTAAATGAAGAACATCACCTGACAGCCATCTTATATTTGGTTAATTATATTTTCAGTAATCAACAATATCTTAAACTGCAAGAAAAAGGGGAGATTTCTAAGCAAAGAAATTTTATTCAAGTCCAACCACATAAAATTTATCCTGTTTTTAGATATCAGAGGGAATAAATATTTCAGTAAAATGTTACTAAGCTATTTTACTGATTTTTATTTAATGACCCAAGAATCAAAGTAGACTTTGACTCAGTTATCTGAAGAAGCCTAAAAACAATAAATATAAAAATGCCTTATGCCTTGTGGAACTAAAGAATAAAGAAATACTATTGTTTTCATGAAAATTATAAACATTGTAAAAATCTTCATTCAAAATAGACGGAAGAGTCCAGAAATTCCATTTTCCCTTCTCTCCTCCTGTTTTCTTTTGAATTGTCAAATGATAATCAAACCTCCCCACTGTCTAGCTCAGTGCCAGACATATAGTAAGCAGTTAATGTATCCTTCCTTTTGGAATGACTTAATTTCTTGCCCCTAATGACTCATAACCCACCATTACCAGTCAACTTAATGATACCAGCTATATATTGATAATGTTAAAAGAGACCTAAGAAAGTGGCCCAGGCTTACATATTTTCACATGTAAGTATCATTCAACATATTAAAATTTCTTCTCTGAAAAAGCTTAAAAGGACAAAAGCTCATTCAATAATTAAGACCCAGTTTCACACCTAATCACTTGATCTGAATGGGTAATACATACTGTGAGATCATATTAAAGTCAGTACAATCCACAACTTATGAATTATAGTTAATATCCCAAGAAGTTGGAGGAATGTACAATGGGAGAGGAAAATACCTAAATCAGCTTTTAGAAATAGATGTGAAATACACAGATTAGGATTAAAAACAGAAAACATGACTGATGTACCTTTGCTGAACTATGAAGCTCTATTATCCTAAAATTACAATATCTCCATCTGTTAATCTGACATGAACAAGCTGATAAATGAAATCAGAACAACAGTGTATTCTGGCAAAACTAGAAGTTTCCTGAAAGCCTAGAAAAATATGTCCACAACAGATGGATCACTTAGAAAATAAATACATCAATCTGTCAAATGGAGTACTATTCTAATCCCTAAATTAAAATCAGTAGGAGTTCCACTTTCCAAGAGTCTGTGACATTAGGAAGGCCAAAAAGGAAAAACCTAAAGATGCACATAAACATATCTGATATGACCTAAAGTGTCATACTGTTAGGTTTCCTGTTAAATATACTAAATTTAGGTAAAGTCCTTACCAGTTAACTTCTTCACAGGTTGGAGCCGAACACTGATAGACTGATGTGTGAGTAAGGGGGAGGATGGAAGAGAGCGAGACATGCCCTCCATAATCCGAATGTGCTGCATACCTTCACTCACTGGAAGTGGTGGAACGGCGTAGTCAGGCTCAAAAACACAGTCGCTTTCTGTGGAGATGCCACCTGTTAGGACAGAACAAAAGAGCTGATAAGAAAAGATTCTTCCTTCTCCATTAAAATGTACCTTTTAAGATAATTCAGAACATCATATACCCATGCTGATTTTCATGGTGAAAAGCCAAATAAGATATTTTCAACACCTACATTCATGTCTATACTTACTGGATGGACACTTAACAGCAGGTTTAGCACTAGGAAATTAAACATGGATAAAATGAGGTTCCTCCTTATAAGGGGCTCACTACCTCATGAATGATTCAGTCCCATAAAGAAATAATTATGGTACAATGCAGTAAGTGTTACAATTGGAGCACTGGTCTTCAGTTTTTTTCCCTGATAAGAAACATAAAAGAAGATATTCACCTGCCTGATAATCCAATACATGCAATTGCTAGTAGGATCACTCTAACTCTCTCTCTTACCCCCTTCTCCAAAAAAGTATGTGCGAATACAAGTAGGTAAGACTGACATTATTATATGGTAATTTTTTTTTGGTAAGATTTTATTTATTTGTCAGAGAGAGAGAGAGCACAAGCAGGGGAAGCAGCAGGCAGAGGGAGAAGCAGGCTCCCTGCTGAGCAAGGAGCCTGATGTGAGACTCGATCCCAAGGACCCTGGGATCATGACCCCAGCTGAAGGCAGACGCCCAACCGACTGAGTCACCCAGGTGCCCTATATGGTGATCTTTTAATCTGCTTTGATATTTAAAAAGATTAAGTTATATGCTATGTATTTCCACCTATATACTGTTGACTTCTATTTCCAATAATGGCAGATTATGCACTTCAGACCAACTTTTCCCTAAGAAAAACTAGAACTGTACATATGTTATAAAATTTTCCTGAAGGCACGGAAGAGTTAATAGCATGAGGAAGGATTACATAAAGAAAAAAAAAAAGACTGAAGCCTGGCATTTGGGGCTACTTTTTACTCAGTGGCATCCGAGAGGCTAAGAAGCTACTGACAGTTTTAAAGAGCTGGAAGGACAAATATTGAAATGCAGAGAAAAACCAAGATACAGAGTGGAAGCTGGTAAAACTCCAACACTTTTGTTTGGAAGCCCAAAGGGCTACACTCTAGGAGTAAGTATGAACCAAAGCTAGTCTGGCCTTTTACAGGAATAAAGCTCGGCTCCAAATGTCTACCACAAAATTCAATTAAGGCAATCTTGGATTGCTAATGCCTGCCAAAAACTAACACAAATCTTCTTAGAGGGAGACAATACTGGCATAGGTCTCAAATTACTTCCACAATTTTTCATACACAGTATCTGGCCCTTAATTGACAAAAACAAAGAGGTAAAACAATATCAAAAAAGTAAATCAGAAAGACCATTCAAAAGAGATAGTCTCACAAGGATACAGATTGTGGAGCAAAGAGGCACAGAATTTAAAGTAGTATACTTAATTAACATCAGAAAGATTAATAATTTGAAATAAATTTAACCAAGGAGGTGAAAGACCCATACACTGAAAACTCTAAGACACTGATGAAAGAAACTGAAGAATAAGTGGAAAGATATCCCAAGTTCAAGGACTAGAAGAATTAGTATTGTTAAAATGTCCATAAAACCCAGTCATCTATAGGTTCAATGGAACCCCTATCAAGATTCCAATAGCATTTTTTACAGAAGCAGAAAAAAGCAATTCTAAAATTTATATGAAATCACAAAAGACCCTAAGTAACCACAGAAATTCTGAGGGAGAGAAAAACAAACTAGGAGGCATCACACTTCCTAATTTCAAAGTATATTACAAAGCTATAATAATCAAAAGAATTTGGTGGTAGCGTAAAAAAAAAAAACAAAAAACAAAAAACACACAGACGAACAGAAGAGAACAGAAAGCCTAGAAATAAACCCATGCATACATGGTCAACTAATCTTTGACACAGGCACCAAGGATACACAACGGGGGAAATGACAGTCTCTTGAATAAACAGTGCTGGGAAAACTGAAAAGCCACATGCAAGAGAATGAAATTGGATCCCTATCTTATACTATATACAAAAATCAACTGAAAAATGGGTTAAAGACTTAAACATAGGACCTGATACCATAAAACTCCTAGACAAAAAGGAGAAAAACTCCTTGAAATTGGTCTTGGCAATGATTTTTTGAATTTGATACCAAAAGCACAGGCAACAAAACCAGGTTAGTAGGTGAGACTACATCAAATGGAAAGGTTTCTGCAAGCAAAGGAAACTACTGACAAAATGAAAAAGCAACCTAGGGAATTGGAGAAAATATTTGCAAACCATACATCCTTAGGGGTTAATATCGAAAATACATAAGAAACTCAATAGCAAAAAACAAACAACCTAATTATAAAATGGGCAAAAGATGTGAATGAACATTTTTCCAAAGTAGACATACAAACAGCCAACAGTTACACAAAAAGATGTTTAACATCACTAACGTTCGGGAAATGCAAATCAAAACCACTGTTAGGACAGCTATTCTCAAAAAGTCAAAAGATAACAAGTGTTGGCAATGATGTGGAGAAAAGGGATCCCTTCTGTTGGTGGCAATGTAAGCTGGTACAACCATTATGTAAAACAGCATGGAGGATCCTCAAAAAATTAAAAATAGAACTACCACATGACGGAACAATCCTACTTCTGAGTATATACCAAAAGGAAATAAAACTATCATCTCAAAGAGATATATGCACTCCTATGCTCACTGCAGCATTATTCACAGTAGCCATGATTTGGAAACAACCTCAGTGTCTGTCAAAAGATGAAGAAAATGTGATTTTACACAAACACACACACAGGTTATTTGTCCATAAGAGAGAAAGAAATTCTGCCACTTATAACAACATGGATGAACCTGGAAAACATTATGCTAAGTCAACTAAGCCAGACACAGAAAGACAAATACTGCATAATCTCACTTAGATGTGGAATCTAAAAAATAAAAAACTCACAGTAGAGAGAGGTGAATGGTGGTTACCTGGGCTAAGAGGATGGGGGAAAAAGAGAGATGTTGTTCAATAATTAAGTTCTGGAGACCTAATGGACAGCATGATGACTATAGCTAATAATAATAATACATGGTACACTTGAAATTTCCTGAGTAGAACTCAAGTGTTCTCACACACGCACAAAAAGGGTAATTGTGTGAAGTAACAGATATTTAATTAGTGTTATGGTGGTAATCATTTCACAATGTATACATTTATCAAAATAACATGTTATATACCTTAAATATATACAATCTGTATTTCTCAATCATACCTCAATAAGCCTGGGGGAAAAGAGTAGAAAATTTAAAAAAACAAGCACATGGTCTTACATGAAATGATGGTAATATGGTCTACACTGAGAAGTAAAATTAAAGCAAGTGTCTCACTTAAGGTTCCCAATTGTGTTATAGTTGTAATTTCATCATATGTAATTCTAACTCATTTAAAAAAAACTTACTGCAGTATATCATGTATTATAACATAACCAGTCTCTTATTAATGGCCACTTATGCAGCTCTTTCTATAGTATTTCTATAGATGATAAATATAGAATTACTGGGTCAAAGTGCTGAGAGTTTTCCCTGAGAAATACTGACTAAATTCTGTATTAAGTCTGTGTAGGGGAGCCTGGGTGTCTCAGTCAGTTGAATGGCCTACTCTTGTTTTGGCTCAGATCATGATCTCATGGGTCATGAGAGATCAAGCCCCATGTGGGGCTCCATGCTCAGTGGGGAGTCTGCTTGAAGATCCTCTCCCTCTGCCCCTCCTCCCACTCGCTTTATATCTCTTGTGCTCTCTCTGAAATAATAAATCTTTAAAAAAAAAAAGTCTGTGTCATGTTGCCTGTAAAAAAAGGGGGGGTAGTATGCTTAATATTTGGAGAAAATAAAAATTTAAAATTCCAGCTAAGAATTAAAATTATGAAAATAAAAACTCAACAGGTGAATTGAAAAACAGATTAGACAGAGATGAAGAGATAATTAGTAAACTGGAAGGTAAAATGTTTGTGCATCAAAAGTCACCATATCAAGAGTGTGAATGGGGGTGCCTGGGTGGCTCAGATGGTTAAGTGTCTGCCTTCGCCTCAGGTCATGATCTCAGGGTTCTGGAATCAAGTCCCACATCCTTGGGCTCCCTGCTTAGCAGGGAGTCAGCTTCCCCTGTTCCTCCTCCACCCCAACTTGTACACACGCACGCTCTCTATTTCAAAAAAAAAAAATGTGAAAAGACAACACCTAGAATGGCAGCACATATGTGCAAATCATTTATCTGAAGAGAGTCTAAAATCCAGACTATATAAAGAACTCCTACAACTCAAGAACAAAATGACAATGCAATTTAAAAATAAGCAAAAGACTTGAAGAGACCTTTCTCCAAAGAAGATATACAAATGTTGACAAAAAGCACATGAAAACGTACTCAGCATCATTAATCATTATGGAACTATAAATCAGAGTCATAGGGAGATATCACTTTATACCCAGTAGGATAGCAATTAAAAAAAAAAAAAAGATGACAAAAAAGTGTTACTGAGAATGTAGAGAAGTTAGTTAGAATCCTAATACATTGCTGGTGGGAATATAAGATGGTATAAGTGCTGTGTAAAACAGTTGCTGTTCCTCAAAAAGTTAAATACAGAATAACCCAGCCATCTGACTTCTGTGTATATACCCAAAAGCAATGAAAACAAGTTTCAAGCAAAAACCTGAACATGAATGTTCAAAGCAGCATTACTCACTATATCCAAAAGTGGAAACAACTAAAATGTTATGAACTGGTAAATGGATAAACAAAACATGGCATATTTATATAATAAAATATTATTTAGCAATAAAGAGAAGCTAGCCTGATTCATGCTACAATACTGATAAACCTTGAAAACATTACGTTTAAGTGAAAAAAACAGACACAAATGGTCACATGTATGATTCCATTTATATGAAATGTTCGGAATAGACAAATCTACAGAAAGAGTAGACTATGATTGCCAGGGACTACAAGGAGGGAGGAGTGAAGAGTGACTGCTTACTAGGT